TAAAGCAATCAAATAAGGTGACAATGACTAACAATCATGGTTGTCTCTGAGGTGAGGGGAAGAAACACAGCAAAAACTAGAAATGTTCCCACAAATTCACATAAAAGTCGACAGCTTTGATGCATAAATAAAAATTTTGTGTTCGGTAAGAAAACAATCGGCTCCTTTTTATTATGTACAAACAACCATCGAAAACGATGAGAAAGTCAGAGGATAATTTGAAATGACTGAAATTTTGAATTTCAAAGGGTTTATTCGTGTGAAAGCATAATGCTTTTCTGTGGTTGTATTGTTGACATTGATACTTCATATACTGTTCGGTATCGTTCTCCGAGGAAATAAAAGGGGAACTTGATAGAAATTCTTCACGAAAACTAGCATAACAACATATGTGATTGGTCAGTGATCAATATTTGTTATTTCTCAACCTTCCCCCGTTGTTACAATTTTCAACTTTACGCGATCTCGGCGGAAGGTATTATTCTTTTTCTTTCTTAATTTCAAGTAACAATTTTGAAAATTCACTCGTTCACCCCATTTACCTTTCTTCTTGTACCCCCTCCTCCTCGCCGGTCCGCTCCCGAATTCACAAATCCTTTTGCACGTGGAGGTCATGGCGGTATCAACCAGTTGGGCGGGGTGTTTGTGAATGGACGTCCTTTACCAAGTCAAGTCAGGCAACAAATTGTTCAATTGGCCAATCAGAATGTGCGACCCTGTGATATCAGTCGACAGTTACGAGTCTCACACGGATGTGTGAGCAAAATCCTCGGTCGGTGAGTGATACAGCGTAGCGGAATAGGAATAGATAAAACGATGTGTTGATTAGTTTCTTTTTCTCAGTTGGTCTATAGTTCATGCATGATTTACAACAACTTTGAGTGTTTCTCTGATAGTCATTCTATTCCTTGTTGTTTATGGGATAAAATGTAACTGTCAATGTTGTGTTGTTTGTTTTTAAACCGCACGTGTCTATTTGAATGGGCTCGAGAAAAGGACAGGAGAAACCACAGTCATTGTGTAGGGCAAAAAGAAACACAAACGTTTCATCCATTGGAACCTGAATAATCAAATGATATTTCTCACAAAAATGCTATCACAATGACCGAAACATTACGGGTTTTGGCAGTCCATACTGAATTTTCTCTCCATTTTTGCGTTGAGTTTAATGCCTGCCGATATTTAGCGAAGTCGTTGGCTGGATAAATATTTGAGCTGTGCGCGGAATAACTTTTCGGCGTTGGAAAATTGCATGCTTGCATTCAAAGCAAATTTATTTGAAAAACGGGGATAAATGATGTATATTTAACTAAGCACCTTCCAGACTTCATCTTTGTTTTTAGTGCTCAATATATTTAGTCAAGCAGTCAAATGAAATGAATGACTGTTATTAAAGAAGAACAAGCGTGTGAGATATTTTCAACCAGTTTCGTTGTAACTGGCACGGTGATAACACAAACCCGTCCTGCGATTAATTGGGCGGATGAGCATTACTGACTGACTCTATTTAAAGAGGACTGTGAATCTAATGCTTCGTCAATGAAAGCTTCATTGTTGTTGGTCTTAGATTGTGACTGGTCATCCTTCCCTCTCACCTCGCTCCTAAATAACTGAGGTCCTTGATCTGTTACTGAGGAAGCTCCACTAACCACATTCCCGTGGCGTAGGATTTTTCTCACCAATGTGAGAGGTTGAAAATGCAATAAGCAGGACTGTAACCGAAACCACTGTGGCAGTTAGCTGAAATCTACGCTTTTAAACCAACCAACAAGAGGCGTAAGAATCACATACACACATCCTGTTTCTTTCTGTGGTTACTGGCTTGGATGAGCATTGAGGGTTAATGGACATCTTCGTTATTTTACCCCGTCTAAAGGTTGTCTGATCCAATGAACTGCATGTCTTGAACACTATCCTGTTACCTTGCGGGCCAAGCTTTGACTAGTCAGTGGTTCCGGCTGAGAATTTATCGAGAAGATTTACCTATTTTGTCCTAGAAAATCAGGCACATTTACACCCACGTGCATATCAGAGACAGCTTTCTTGTTGTAAAAATCTTTGTACTGTGTTTCGTTTGGATCAGAGGCATGAATTCCTTCCCCTCCCCTTGCTCGCACATAGTCAGACTCTGAAACTACTCCTGTTAAAATCTCAGTTTCACTGCTGCAGACATAATCAGCAGTTAAAGATTACACACAATCATCGTAGATTTATGCATGGCTTGAATCCAGCTCTGGTGCACACGCGAATACACGTACAGTCTCCCTACGATCCGTGCACGCGCGTGTGCATCTAGGACTTGTGCAATTCACCTTGTCCTCGTATCGAAGCAAGATGTTCGGGTATGATTTCAAGTCGTCGGATAAGAAACCCAAATTAACACTGGGCAACTCTGAGCAACAGAAACAGAAATTTCCACAGTTTCCAGCGTAATTCCAATTACTTCCCGATCAGAGCGAGTTGAATTTTAATCCACAGAATGATCCAATCCCCAAGAATGAATTTCTGATTGACCTAGCAAGATATGACATTTTTCGCCTCAGTGCAAAGGAACTTGGTCAGGTGTTTCAGTTTCAGTTTTTACAATCATTAACCATGCACTTTAGTATGCCGGTTTGGGTTGCTGTCCTTCGATCACCCATTTTAGATAAGAGAACGAAATGAATAGGGGGATGTTGAGGGTAAATTCAAAGGGAAGACAGACCATTCATATGAACTGGGGTTGCAAGAATATTGAGTGGATGCATGAGCGCTACTGTTTGCGACATCCAGTCACATCAATCAGCGTGTCTAACTACCGGGTCCCCATCCAGGACACCTGAAGGGACCTATGTGACCCAATCTCCTGGTTACGGTTTGCATACCAGGTTTCAATGTGACCACCCTTGATCTTTTCCCGACTACTAACTACCTCGGTAAACATCGCTCACTGTGGACATCTATTTGGTGACATGTGTAACACATGTCCCAGTCACCAAAATCTATGTAGGTCGATCACTTGCTCTATTGGGTGACCGAGATTACCTAAAACCCTGCGCCTAACTTCAGCATTGCTCGTTTGGTTGACCCGCACGAATCGTGCTATGCGACGCAGACAGCGGCGTTCAAACACCGACAGTCCATTTTTATATTGTTGCCGTAAAGACCAAGTTTCTGTGCTGTAAAGCAGAACTGGCCAAAATGCAGCAGCATACACTCGACCCTTCACACATAGCCGGATGCGGCGACGGTGCCACAGAAATGCCTCAAGTTCGCAAATGATCAGATGACTGAGTAACTGACTCCTTGGAGCGTTTTGCATTCGCAGAAAAGTCAAATCGATTAAACATGGATCAAACGTTTTAGTTGGCCAATTTGTGTATGACTTTTTTGCAAAAGGTTTCCTGTTTCATTTTCTTGTCCCAGAAACTCACTGGGTGATAGCTGTGAATTTGGAACAATCCCAGAAAAAGTGATATTAATTATAAATTTGATATTTAATTTAAACGATTCTTAGTGGGATAAGTTTTGAACAGGATGAACAGAATCCAGAAAGAAAATCCTTCCGTAATCGCCTAGTCACAGGGTTCTTGATTAACAGTGGCTGTTCATGAAACCATAGAAATATGGAATGTGTCACACAATGCTCGGACCACGTTATTCGCATCTTTCTGCACTAAACTTCAACGTATGTTGAAATAAAACAATCAAGATTTCTATCTGTTTGGATTTCTCGGTCTCAGGAAATTCTGTGGGTTGCATGGTGAACCAAAATGCCATACAGAGCCTCATCATTATCTTTACTCCCTTCATTTTTTTCCTTTTCATCCTGTGAATAATTGTACAAATCATTTTTCAAGTGAAAGGGAAAGTAACTCATTTCCAAGGTTGCCAGGTGGCACGAAGACAACGGGAAAGTCTAGCGAGGTTGGTGAGATTCGAAGGCATGCCCCGAGGTGATAGCCTCGACTAAAACCACCCTAAGTATGAGATAAATGTGGGCAAAATTGCAATCGAAAATGATCGCATACTAAATGGATAGAAATGGTCAAAATAATGACTGGAATAGGGCTGTATAAAAGAACATTGATGATCGCGGTAACGAATTGCAGCTATTCAATACTGATTATCCGTCGTTGTTCCAGTACGTTGCAATGCTCCATTCGGGGACAACCAAAACGATTTTTCGGGGCTTGGAAAGTGCTTAAATTTTCTTCTTCTAAAGAGCCGAATATTGCTTTGGTGATATAAAATTCAAAATTCATCGATAACGGGTTTACAGTTATTGGCTGAAAGCACCGAATCACTTGGGACATTGAATTCAGTTTAACCGCTGTACAGTGAAATTTGGCGCGTGGAAGGTGATCGCAATGAATCGGAATAACAACAGAGTCACTGTGACGCGGAGCCAAGAGATACAGTTCAACTCTGTTAACCGATAGAATCATCAAGATGACAACTGCGACTCAGTACACGATCTGCATCCGACCATATTAACGACGTCAGAATTATTGATCAACTTAACACTCGTCCTCCATGGTTGAGGGGATGCAGGAAAGTAGTGTGAGAAAGAAGCTGTGTCGTTGTCTTACTGATGTAGTTTAACAAAGTGAACTATGCCCTATTATGCGCTGCTTGGGGGAATTAACTGTATATAAAACTAAATCTGTGCCTTATGCGATTTTGAATCAGATCAATTCGCGTTTATCAAACCGACGTACCAAATTTAATTTCTATCTTTGAAGCACTGCTCATTTGTGACACATTTGCACACCAACACTGACAAAAACTTGGGGAACTCACATCTCGTAACTGTCGTTCACAAATACCTGCTGTTTTTTTCCACGAGCTATGAGTGCTACTCGTTAGACAGAATGTAATATGATGTTCAGTTGTTCGCCGAGCTTGGCAATTGCGAACAACTGAACATCATAGTATACCACCCGAGCTACAAAAACAACAATCAACATCGTTGTTTACCAAACTGTCAGAATATAATATCTCTCTCCGTGAAGATATTTCGTGTACACGAGCGTCATTGTTGACATACATGTCGCTTAGAACATTTTTGGAATAGTAGTCGCTAACTGTCTGTAGATTTCATATCACAAAAGGAGAATGCCACTAACTGATGGTTCCTGTGAAAAGAACTCCGTAACCTACAGAGAAATCATTAGCTCTCAAGCGTCAACTCGCCTATCTGGTGTATGTATGGGTTTTTGTTCCCCAAACTTGCAAACGGTACAGACTTCGTTCGCATCAATATCCCACGAATACTACTCACCCATTGTGTTTTGGTGCTCGCCATCACCACCATCAGCACCCCTAGCAAACGGTGGTGGAGGGTTAGGAGACCGCGCGTGCACAGACACCGTATTCGTTGAGTAAGGCCAACCGCCTAGTAATCTCTTTTATTATGGTCCATGTTCATTTCAAACAATCCCTCTACCCCCCTCATTCGGAATGCTTGAATAAGAAGTGATCGGAGAGTTAAAATTCATGGAATGGAGAGGAACCACTTCATGGAAACGAAGTCAACCACGGACAAGAATTCTACACTCTTGCGAATGATCCTGCCATTGAACAGCCAGTGATATTGCTAATCATAATTATTACTATTGAAAACCAGTGTGGATCAATAAAACTCTCAAGAAGTGCTACCCACACAATAAAATGAATTCATAGACTCCGACATTTATCAATGGGTTAAGACAAGAGCGTTAAACCAATAATAAGCATATACGTTCCACCGTATGCCCGTCTCTTGTAGCACTACGATAGGAAACGACAAGATCCTAAACAATCTCTTTGTGGTTGCGGGTTCGCGCCTATAATCGTTTAACCGATCCATCGTCCGAGTCTACGCCTATTCCAAACTCGGTTCACCGAAACAAACATACGTAGACCATTATCTGTGTGTGATGTGTGTAGGTGTAGGTGCACAAACTTTGTGGGAGCGATCAACCTGCAATGACCAATGAACGTGCTTTTATGAATCCATGTGGGGTTCTTATTCCTGCCATTATTATACGTTGAAAATATTTACACACACACACACGCACGTGCCGCTAAATACGAAACTGAATCCTTGGTTTGTATCCCCGTCTTGCGGCTCCCAGACACGAGTAAGCACGAGCACATTAGTTGTAACGATACCCTGAGGATATTGCCTGGATTGTACTTGTGTGTGTCTGTGTCAAGTTGACGGATGCCAGTTCATCGAAATTCAGAACGATATATTATCTTTGCTACCATGTTATATTCAGTTGGAATCAATACTTGTCCATCGGTATGTGTGCTTGTGGGTGTGTTATAGAAATAGACTGAAAGTGGGTTGACGGGGTCCGCTAAGTGCTAATCCGCCCTCGATACCCGATTCCCAAGCTCGTTACAAAGAGCATTGGTTGGGTTCGTGAAAGGACCAAGTAAACTTCGGTATGCTCGGGTACATACACAGGAACACGCGCACAAGCATATCGAAGCATGTAACTTTTTCCTGGCTTTCGTACGCCTACACCTATGCGTACACACACACACACACACACATACATACACGCACACGCATGCGCCCACGCGCACGTACGCACGCACGCACGCGCCCCTACCCTCTCTCTTCATCACTCACCAACGCGCTCATCCTCTTCACTATTCATTCTCTTTTTTTTCTCGACTTGTTGATGGCAGTTTTGAGACGATACTTAGCTTTTAAATGTATTTGCGGAAACCGAGACGACCTAGGTGCGGAGAAATCGAGCGTTTGGGAGGGGGGTAGTGGATAAGAGAACACTGAGGTCGTGGTCTCGGAACTAATTCTGAAAGAACTGGCCTGATGAATCCGGGCTTGGAGAGAGGGTGGGGGGGGAAGTGTGACCGTCAGGGGGAACAGTGTGTTTGTGTGCGCACACAGACATCGATACCACTCGGGTGTGCAAGCGCACAAGTTAGTCGAGTTGCTCTGAACGAGCTTGCACAGGCACTCATACGCATGGACGCACCTACACGGACGGGCGTAAGAGAAAACGAATACGCCCGATTGGCGGG